AAGCAGTTCTTTGGTAATATAATTTTCTTCGCTGGGTTTGGAGCAGTTCTCTTGTAATTTTCTACTTAAAGAACCTACTCTAATTTAGTTTCAGCTTTCTAATAAATTTTTATTAGTTTTTTTTTGTCAGATTTGGAGCGGTTCTCTGGTAATATTCTTCGCCAGATTTGGAGCAGTTCATTAGTAGGTTTTTTAGGAATTTTATTAGAATTGCATACGAGAAATATATTAATAGTCTCTACTGTTTGTAATTATATGAAGAGTATACAACAAGCCATACATACAACTTTAGTCATTGTCTAATTTAAGTAGTCCACTGCACAGGTGATTAGACTATCTGATTGGTTCTACACTATGTTGCTATACCTGTAACCTACCTGTGAGTTATCTATTTAAACACTCTGTTCATTAACCCATACAAATCCAATCTAATATTACTGCAATACCTAACTGCTTAAGCCAGCTAGCTCATTATAGATCTATTTATTCAGAACGGTTTAGGTCCTCTTGAAATATATTATACCTATCATATTATAGGTATCGCAGAGCCAGTTAACCTCAAAGTATATCTACTAGAGTGGTCTGTACCTATTTTACAGATTCACCTAGCTTAGACTCTTGTAGATATTTATACGACTCCAGTTCCTACTGTGGCTCTCTACCAGTTTTCTGTATTCTATTTTCTTTGATATTTTACAAGACAGATTCTCTCAATCCAGTTAGCTACCAAGCCAAGTTGGTATTACTGATCCTCCCTGTAGAACAGATTTATGCGTACCTGACTCAATCTGCATCTTTTGATTATAGTTTTCTTTTTGGATCAAATGTTAGCTGGTATAACTGTCAAAGGCTGTACTACTTTACCAACTCAGGATTTCTACTATGCAAGTCTCTTGCTTATAAATCCTATTAAGATTTATTCATGTAATATTATGTCTCACCAAATACCTCGTTATACTTCTAATATTCAGATGATATTAGTGCAATATGATTTACAAAGTTACAACTCCAGAAATAGACAGGGTTTACTGTAAGTTAGATACAAAAGTCTGAGTAATTATTCAAATTCATCGATAGTGGAATTTGAATTCCAGACCTTTTGTATGACAGTCTGGCAACCTAACCACTATACTAAGATCATCAGACCTATCAACTTTATTTTATAATTATATATAAAATATAAGTCTATAGATATTGTAATAAAAATTATTATTATTTTTTTTTTTACTTTTACAAATGCTATCAGCTGAAACTTTTATTAGTATTGATAGTGAGTAAATAATACATATTATGAGAGTACAACTAGCTATATGTATAACTTTAGATTGTCTAATTTAAGTAGTCTGCTCAAAGGTTCTACACTAGCTACTATATCTAAAATCTATTTGAAGATTACCTATTTAAACCTTCTGGCTCTATGATATTTACTCAGATTCTATTATTATTTTACTAAAGTTCACCTAACCCTATACTACTTCTTTTTTCAGAAGATACTCAAGCTGACATTAGTCTACAAACTTTATGATTCAGAGCCTAGACTCTATTACAAGGTGTCTCTTCACTAACTCCCTAATCGATAGGGTATTGTAGTACTCAACTATGCTATACTATATCTCAATTTAGCTTGTATATACCCTTATTTGATATTTGTACAAACCCAGTTTCTACTATGGCTTTCTACCAGATTAGTAGTCTATACTTCCAGATATCATACAAGACAGATTCTCTCAAATCTGAAGATTAGTATTACTTGTACCTCCAGATATTATATGAGACAGATCCTTCTAAATTCGAAGGTTGGTATTGTCTGTGCCTCCAAATATCACACAAGACAGATCCTTCCAAATTCAGTTGCTACTAAGCCAAGTTGATATTGTCATATGATTTCGTATAATAGACTTATTCATATCTGCTCACTGTTTTTTCATATGCAGAACTTACTCGTACCTGCTTGTTAGTCTTTTTATATGCAAGACTTACTTGCATCTGTTTGCTAATCTTTTTATATACAAATTTTCTTTTTTAGATCAAACATTAACTAGTATGATCATTAAAATCTGTACTACTTCATTTAACTTGAGATTTCTGCTATGCAAGTTCTTTATCTGTAGATTCTATTAAGATTTATTTATATAATGTTATATTCCTCAGATGCTCTGTTATACTTCCAATATCTGAATAATATTAGTACAACATAATTTACAAGGTTATAACTTTAGAAATAAACAGAGTTTACTGTAAATTAGATACAAAGGTCTAAGTAATTATTCAATTCTGTTAACAGTAGGATTTGAACTCTAGACCTCTTATATAGTAGTCTGACAACCTAACCACTATATTAAGATTGCTAGATCTAATAAAAATTATTAAAAAAGAATATTTGTATTATAAATATATATTGTATATTATATATAATTAATAATAATTTTTTTTTATTTTTAAGATGACTTATATTGCTAAGTAGATTTTATTAGTTTGATATATGAGAATCTATATAGGATTCTTCTATAGTTTGTAATTATATGAAGAGCATATAATAAGCTATATATACAACTTTAGTTATTATCTAATTTAAGTAGTCTTCTATACAGATAATAGACCATCTGATTAGTTCTATACTATACTGCTATATCTGTAACCTGTCTGTGAGTTACTTATTTAAATATTCTGTTTAACTAATCTATATTATTACAAACTAATATCACTATAATATCTAACTGTTTAAGTCAGCTAGCTTGTTATAGATCTATTTATTAACTTTAGCTTAAATCCTCTTAGGATGTATATTACTCAATATATTTATAAACATGCAGAGCTCTAGTTAATCTTGAAGTATATCTACTAGAGCAGTCTATACTTTTTTCACAAATTCACCTAGCTTAAATCCTTGTGATATTTATACAACTCCAGTTTCTACTATAGCTCTTCACTAGTTTTCTGTTTGCTAATCTTTTCAGATATTTTATAAGGTAAATTCTCTCAATTCAGTTAGCTACTAAGCTAGATTAGTATTGCTGATCCTTCTTATAGAACAGACTTACTTGTATCTCATTTGATCTATATTTTTGAAATAACAGTTTCTTTTTCAGATCAAGTATTAGCTGATATAATTATCAAAAGCTATACTATTTTACTAACTCAGGATTTCTACTATGCAGATCCTCTACCTGTAGATTCTATTAAAATTTATTTATATAATATTATATCTTTTCAAATACCTTATTATACTTTTAATATCTGAATAATATTAGTATAACTTGATTTACAGAGTTACAACTTCAGAAACAGACAAAGTTTACTGTAAGTTGAGTACAAAAGTCCAGATAATTATTCAAATTTGTTGATAGTAGGATTTGAATTTCAGACCTCTTGCATAGCAGTCTGATAATCTAACTACTACACTAAGATCACTAGATTATAATTAATAATTATTTTTTTTTTTTTTTGTTATTAAGGCGGCTTACATTGCTGAAGGAATTTTATTAAAATTGCATATGGGATATACATTGATAATCCCTACTGTTTGTAATTACATGAAGAGTGTACAACAAGCCACACGTATAACTTTAGTCATTGTCTAATTTAAGTAGTCTGCCTCATAGACGATTAGACCATCTAATTGGTTCTACACTATACTGCCATACCTGCAACTCGCCTGTGAGTTACCTATTTAAACACTCTGTTCATTAACCCTTACAGATCTAACCTAACCTCACTACAACATGTAACTGCTTAAGCTAGCTAACTTGTTATAGATCTATTTATCCTGAACAGCTTAGGTCCTCTTGGGATACTTTATACCTAACGCATTGTAAGTATCGCAGAGCTAGTTAACCTTGAAGTATACCTACTAGAGTGGTCCATACCTATTTTACAGATTCACCTAGCTTAGACTCTTGTAGATGTTCGTACAATCCCAGTTCCTACTATGGCTCTCCACTAGTTTTCCGTATTCTATAATCTTAGATATTTCATGAGGCAGATCCTCCCAATCTAGTTAGCCGCCAAGCCAGGTTAGTGTTACTGATCCTCCTTGTGAACTGGATTTATGTGCACCTGACTCAATCTGCATCTTTTAACGATAGTTTCTTTTCTGGATCAAATGTTAGCCAGTATAACCGTTGAAAGCCGTACTACTTCATCAACTCAGGATTTCTACTATACAGGTCCCCTGCCAATAGATCCTATCAAGATTTATTTGTGTAATGTTATGTCTTGCCAAATGCCTTGTCATACTTCCAATATCTGAATAATATTAGTACAACGTGATTTACAGGGTTACAACTCCAGAAACAGACAAAGTTTACTGTAAGTTGGGTACAAAGGTCCAGGTAATTATTCAAATTCGTCAACAGTGGGATTTGAACCCCAGACCTCTTGTATTGCAGTCTGGCAACCTAACCACTACACTAAGATCACCAGACCTATATAATTAATAATTATTATAAATAATTATTATTAATACTACATATGAACTACTAATAATTAATAAATTTTAACAATTATTTTTTATTATTATTATTATTATTATTATAATACTATAGTAGAAACTTTATTACAAAAGAGAACAGATATTCAAAATTTAAAGATTTCTAATTACATTTGTATTATATAAAACTAAATTATTAGTTATTTTAAGACTACTCAATGTGATATTATAGAATTTTCCTACCAAATTCATATAAATCCCAATCAAATTCATTTTTTAACCAATTAAATTCATCATATCCCAATCAAATTCGTGTCTTGACCAAATTCGTATTTAACCAAATTCATGTTCTAACCAAATTTGTATCCTAATCAAATTCGTATCCCAACCAAATTCGTATCTCAACCAAATTCGTATGCTAATCGAATATTCATGTTCTAACCAAATTCATATCCTAATCAAATTCGTATCCCAACCAAATTTGTATCTAATTAAATATGTGTCTCAACCAAATTCGTATTCCAATTAAATTCATATTCATGTCCTGGCCAAATTCGTATCCTAATTAAATTCATATTCCAACCAAATTCATATCCAAATCAAATTTGTTTCTCAACCAAATTCGTATCCCAATCAAATTCACATTAATGTCCTGGCCAAATTCGTATCCCAATTAAATTCATATCCCAACCAAATTTATATTTCAATCAAATTCGTGTCCTAACCAAATTCGTATCCCAATCAAATTTGCATTCATGTTCTGGCCAAATTCGTATCCCAATCAAATTCATATTCATGTCCCAGCCAAATTCATATCCCAATCAAATTTGTATTCATGTCCCAGCCAAATTCATATCCTACCCAAATTCGTATCTGAATTAAATTCATATCCTAACCAAATTCATATCCTAATCAAATTCGCATTCATTTCCTGGCCAAATTCATATTCCAATTAAATTCACATTCATGTTCCAGCCAAATTTGTATCCCAATCAAATTCGTATTCATGTCCTGGCCAAATTCATATCCCAATCAAATTCGTATTCATGTTCCGGCCAAATTCGTATCGTACTCAAATTTGTATCCCAATCAAATTTATATCCCAACCAAATTTGTATTCCAATCAAATTTGTATTTATATCCTGACCAAATTTGTATTCCAATCAAATTCGTATTTATGTCCTGGCCAAATTTGTATCCCAATCAAATTAATATTCATGTCCTGGCCAAATTCGTATCCTGATCAAATTCATATTAGTACATATCCTGGCAAAGAAAATTAAAGAACTGCACCAAAATTCCTAAGAAACCTACTAGAGAACTGCTCCATATCAGCGAAGAAAATTCTCAGAGAACTGCTTCAAAACAGGCGAAGAAATTTTACTCCAAACCCAGTGAAGGAAATTACCATATAACTGCTTCAAACCCAGCAAAGAAACTATATGTAATTGAAATTTATAAGAAATTAGAGTGGGTCTAAGAAATCTACTCAAACTTGTGAAGAAAATTACCAGAGAACTGCTTCACATCGGCGAAGAAATTATTAGAGAACTGCTCCAAACCCGGCAAAAAAATTATCAGAGAACTGCTCCAAATCCGGTGAAAAAATTACCAGAGAACTGCTCCAAATCCGGCGAAGAAATTATTAAAGAACTGCTCAAAACTCAGCAAAGAAAATTATATTACCAAAGAACTGCTCCAAATCCGGTGAAGAAATTACCAGAGAACTGCTTCAAATCCAGTGAAGAGAACTGCTTCAAATCTGGCGAAGAAATTACCAGAGAACTGCTTCAAATCTGGCGAAGAAATTACCAGAGAACTGCTTCAAATCCGGTAAAGAAATTACCAAAGAACTACTCCAAATCCGGTGAAAAAATTACCAGAGAACTGCTTCAAATCTGGTGAAGAAATTATTAGAGAACTGCTCAAAACTCAGTGAAGAAAATTACCAGAGAACTGCACCAAATTCAGTGAAGAAATTACCAGAGAACTGCTCCAAATCTGGCGAAGAAATTACCAGAGAACTGCTCCAAATCCAGCGAAGAAATTACCAGAGAACTGCTCCAAATCTGGTGAAGAAATTATTAGAAAACTGCTCCAAATCCAGCGAAGAAATTATTAGAAAACTGCTCCAAATCCGGCTAAGAAATTACCAGAGAACTGCTTCAAATCTGGTGAAAAAATTACTAAAGAATCACTTCAAACCTAGCGAAGAAATTACCAAAGAACTGCTCCAAATCCGGTGAAGAAATTACCAGAGAACTGCTCCAAATCCAGCGAAGAAATTACTAGAAAACTGCTCCAAATCTAGCAAAGAAATTATTAGAGAACTGCTCCAAATCCGGCGAAAAAATTACCAGAGAACTGCTCCAAATCCAGCGAAGAAATTACCAGAGAACTGCTCCAAATCCGGTGAAGAAATTACCAGAGAACTGCTCCAAATCCGGCGAAGAAAATTACATTACCAAAGAACTGCTCCAAATCTGGCGAAGAAATTACCAGAAAACTCTCCAAACCCGGTGAAGAAAATTACATTACCAAAGAAATGCTTCAAATCTGGCGAAAGAACTACTCCAAATCCGGCGAAGACAATTACATTATCAAAGAACTGCTCCAAATCTGGCAAAGAAATTATCAGAGAACTGCTTCAAATCCGGCTAAGAAATTACCAGAGAACTGCTCCAAACTCAGTAAAAAAAATTACATTACCAAAGAACTGCTCCAAATTCAGCGAAGAAAATTTAAACCTCATAGACAGAGATTTGTCTGATTAGCTGATGTATGTAAATCAATTGCCCAGGTAACTTATTTATACACTTTAAAGTATTTTTTAAAATTACACAAGCAAAAAATCGTTAAACCCATTATTTTTAGTTTCAAAAGAGTGCTAGAAGCTAGCTTAGACATGATATTCAGAAAAAGGTAAAGGAAAGAAGCTTTGTCTAAATTTAACACACACTAAAACAAAAATAACTACTAACAAAAATAGCGTTTATTTTTTTTAAGATTTAGATTTCGAGTTAGGTATTTAAAATAAGACGCAAGCTTATTAATATGAGAGATTTGGGTTTATACTTAAGATATTCTTTAAATTTTAGTTTAGTTTGTTAAAGTGTATTTTGGTTTATTGATTATAAATATGATTTTGGGTTTACAGATAGCAGGTTTAGTGTTTTAATAATGAACATCACTTTTTTACTCTATATGTATCTATCTATTTACTGTGCGTATGTTTCAATATAATTCATGTGTATTCATCAATTTATGTGATTTTTCTTGAGGTTTTTCGTTTCGTACATGAATAATGTACTGCAAATTGTATAATTTGATTGGTTGATATTCATGTGTAGATCTACAAATTACTATTAGAAACTGGCCAACCAAATGAACTTCTGCCTATGACCCCAAACCCAGCGAAGAAAATTACATTACCAGAGAACTGCTCCAAATCTGGTGAAGAATATTACCAGAGAACCGCTCCAAATCCAGTGAAAAAAAACTAATGAAAATTTATTAGAAAGCTGAAACTGAATTAGAGTAGGTTCCTTAAGTAGAAAATTACCAGAGAACTGCTCCAAACCCGGTGAAAAAAATTATATTACCAGATAATAGCACAAAAATTCCTAAGAAATCTATCAATGAACTGCTCCAAATCTAGCAAAGAAATTACCAGAGAACCGCTCCAAATCCAGCGAAAAAAAACCAATGAAAATTTATTAGAAAGCTGAAACTAAATTAGAGTAGGTTCCTTAAGTAGAAAATTACCAGAGAACTGCTCCAAACCCAGCAAAAAAAATTATATTACCAAAGAACTGCTCAAAAATTCCTAAGAAACCTACCAATGAACTGCTCCAAATCCAGCGAAGAATATTACCAGAGAACCGTTCCAAATTCAGTGAAAAAAAACTAATAAAAATTTATTAGAAAGCTGAAACTGAATTAGAGTAGGTTTCTTAAGTAGAAAATTACCAGAGAACTACTCCAAATCTGGTGATGAAAATTACATTACCAAAGAACTGCTCAAAAATTCCTAAGAAACCTACTAATGAACTGTTCCAAACTCAGAGAAGAAAATTACATTACCAAAGAACTGCTCAAAAATTCCTAAGAAACCTACAAAGAACTGTTCCAAATCTGGTGAAAAAAAATTATTAGAAAACCGCTCTAAATCTGGTGAAGAAATTACCAGAGAACTGCTCCAAATCTGGCGAAGAAATTATTGGAAAACTGCTTCAAATCCAGCGAAGAGAACTGCTAGGGAACAACACCAAATTTCGAAAAGAGCTCTTTGACATTTTGGAGCCCCTCTCTGATAAAACTACCAGAGAACAGCTCCAAAACGTCGAAGAGATCTCCAAAAATCAACTAAAAATGTTCAAGTTAGTAGCAAAAAACTATGCTAATTAAAGTCAATACCAATAAAAAAACCACAATCCAAAAAAATAAAAAAAAAATTGAGATCTGATCGATCGTGATGATTTTTTATGTTTTTTATTTTGTAGCTTTCGTTTCTCTCTTTTTAGTAACAACCTTGGTTTTTTTTAATATTTAATGAACTTATATTTTGAGTAAAGTTTGTTCTTGAAAATAGAATTAATTGAAAAAATACCATTGTTACATTGTTTGATTTTATTAGTTTTATAATTACCCTAATCGTACACCCCTGGCAATTATCTTTTTTTAAAATTAATTATTGTTATTGTAACGCACATAACGATAAACTCAGTCAAAAGTTAATCACATTGAGGAGTATACGTCAATTACACCATTATTTATAGAATTAATTGATAAAGGCACTTATTTCATCAACACTCATTTTACCAACTGTGTCATTTCACTATTTTTAGTAAAATTATTGTCATATATCACTGTTTTCGAATTATCATTATGTAGTAAGATCAATAAATTTTGTGAATCCTGCATGCTACCATTGTTAAAACTAGCATCATGTAGGATTCGTGGGATTCACAAAATTTATTGATTTTACTACATAACGATAAAGCAATAAATAATTAGAACTCATTTTACTCGTGCACTAATTTAACAACAATAAAATGAATATTTATAAACAAGTAAATCTTAGATATTTAAGGGTACTTTCTTTGTTTATATTATTTCGTATGTATTCTGGCTCCTGCTATATAATTGCTGCATATAATCACGGATAATATAATTAGTTATGTTTTGAGGAGAGCTTATTAATTATTTAATTTTTTGGAGGAGACCCGTGCTAAAGAGAGAATAATGTTAAAATTTTAAGTCATTGATTATATATATTTTTATATACAGAATATAAAAAAATAAATTTAATATAAATAACAATCGTTTTTGCTAAACTATATTTTTGCTAAACTAACCTTGAACTATGAAAAATCAATGATATCCATATAGAAAAACCACACTTGCTATAAGAGAACAAATAATACATATGATTAATAACCAATGCTTACCAATTATTAAAGTTTCCTAACATTTTCGGTTTGAACCTTCAACTATTCAAAGTATTGTAAACAGATTTAATGAAGAGAATAGGATTACTTTTAAAGCAAGAGGTGGTGATAGAAGATTGAAACTAAATGATGATCATAGACTTTTTTTACGAAGACAAATGGAAATAAATCCAAGTATTACTATTAACGAATTATACCAAAAGCTTATTGAACAGTTTAATTTACAAGTATATATATATAATAAATATTAGTAAAAACAGTGAAAACCTGTAAATCATTTCGCTTATTATCATCGTAGTAAATTCTACTCTGAGCCTTAGGAGTAGAATTTACTACGATAATAATGAGTAAAATAATTTGCAAGTTTTACTTAGAGATAGTAAAAAAACACTTTTTCACCTGTTTAAAACATGTGATTATTAAAGTCCAAATACTGGATCAAATAATGATCACTGTTTTTTAATTTATCATCACCTGTTTTTAATTACGTAATAAAAAACTTTTGCCATCCTCATATTTTATATGTATAATTCTAATATAAAATATATTAATAGGTCATTAGATCAACAGTTGGCCAAAATATAAAAAAACTAGGATTTACCTTAAAAAGACTAGTACCAATTAATGAAAGCCAGAATATAGATACTACCATCGTTCAAAGAAAAGAATATGTTGACAACATATTTCAAGAAAATATTGATATGTATAATGATGTTATATATATTAACGAATGCGGTTTTAATCTACATTTAACTCATTCACGGGGACATGCATCTAGTAGAAAATCTGCTATTAAAGAGGTTGTTAAACAACGTAGCAAAAATATTACAATTATAGCAGCAATAGATGGAAATAGTATCATTAAGGTTTCATCAAATCTGGGTATGACCACAGGTTTGGTTTTTAAAAAATTTTTGAATGATCTTATAGAATCGCTTTCTCCTAACCGTAGCAGAATCTTTATAATGGACAATGCAAAAATTCACTATGCGAAACTAGTTAAAAAATTATTTGAAAAAACACCACATAAATTCTTATTTTTGCTAGCATATTCCCCGTTCCTTAATCCCATAGAAAAGGCCTTTTCAAAAGTAAAAAATCTAGTTGCAAGACACTATCTTACCGATCGCGAAACAATTTTGGGAAGAATAGATGATGCATTTGATATGGTAACTAGGGAGGATTGTAGAAATTGGATTAGACATTCGATATCATATTTTGATTCCTGTCAAGATGAAGAAAGAATTGAAATGTAATTATTAAAATTTTAGCTAGCATTCTTGATAAATTATCTGTATTCGTAAAATATTTTGGTTAGTATCGTATAAAAAAAAAAAAAAAAAAAAAAAAAAAAAAAAACAATTTCATATTAGGCTACACAAAATTAAATTTTTTTTTTATATACAAGGGCCATT